ACTGAGCTCATGAAAGATAACACTGGTTTGTTTAACTCGTTGTATCATTGTTTTACTCTCCTTCAGAAAATTCCCACAAATTCTAGCACTGACTTAAGTCTTTGGAGGCTCAAAGACACACAAAATTTCTATCAGTAACACTTTAGTTCATTTTTCTTATGGCTTTTCCAAATGAGATTTTTTCTGTCTCTCATTTAACATCATGGGAAGGGAGTGCTTATCGTGGGCACCTGGAACAGGCAGGGAGGGTCGCAAAGCTGTAGCAGATGGTCAAGGCAGCATGTGACATGAAAATCATCTGCAACAAGTTAGTTCTGAGTTCATTTCAAAGGAACAGGCAGATCTCAGAGAATTAATATTCTCAGGAAGAGTTAACATGGTCTCTCATTGGCTTTTTTCCTTCTTTACAAGACCGTCGGCTTTCAGGAGGTGCCTTTCCAACCTGACGGAAAGGGCCATGCTTTCAGGTCGTAATCCTGCTCAGTGAACATTCTGGCTGAATCTGAAGTTCCTGATAAAATTAGAAATTGTCAAAGCAGACAAAATAATATTATTGTGGTTATTTTTCTCTTTTTTAAAAAAAACACTGACAGCAAATAATTGATTCATATGTTAAGGGAGGAATCACAAGCTTTCAGATAGTGTCTAGGTAAATCAGTGACTCCAGGAACACACAGATGTTTGATGTAACAAGTGAATACATGGCCTACAATCACCTTGATTTCAGTCTTTTAAAAAATGTATGTAATTAGGGTTTGGTTGTACTAGAAAATTCTTACATTTACAACATCTACAATATACCAGATTATATTTATTCCCATGTTACTAAGGCCCAAGTTTCTCCAGATCAAAATTCTTTTATTTTTACTCTTTTGTCTTTGGTTTCATTTTCCATTTTATAACAAGTCAACTTGAGATTCTTTAAACAGAACTTTCCAGTAGAAAGTTGTAACACTTTTCTCCTTTAATTAAAAAAATATTCCTTTATGTAGATTTTCATTCCTCTTGCTACGTGCTAATTGAGGTCTTATGCGTTTTTCGAGCTCAACACGTCTGTGTCACTGTTACTGCTCCTATTCCCCAGAGCCTTCATCTGTGCTCACCCAGCACTCTTCACTTGCATCTCCATCAGGAGTTCTCAGCCCTCGCTACACATTAATCTGATCTGGGAAGCTGCAAACATATCAATGCCTGGGCTCCATTCCCAGGACTTTCACCCAGGATATCTTGGGTGATATCCTGGCATAGACAAAATGTTTTAAAGCTCCAAATATAATTGTACTGGTCTAGACAAAGTTGAGAATCCCTGCTCTATGTTACTGTTGTTATTGCATTATCATTATTTGTGAAACTTCACCTCCCACTGGAGTTTTCAACTCCTGGGACAGGCAGGGATTTCAACAATACAGATCAGAGACTGACTCTGATTCAGACGTGAATTCCAATGCCCGTTGAATTTGATCTATGGAATGTTTGTATGCCAAGTACTTTATGGAGTGCTCCAGAAGATGCAAAATTTAAAGAGAATATCATCTCTTACCCAGGGAAGTTATTAACAGTTATGGAAATATTGAACAAGAAAAAACCTCATACAGCATACCAAGGACGTAATACGGCTCTGAGGATGAAAAAAAAAATAGTATGATGGAGAGTCAAATGAATTGAGGAATCAGGAAGACATAATGATGGAGAGGATGGGATCCTGGGATGGACATGTGTAGAACTTTGAGTAGGATTATGTATATGGTTTGGACAAAAATAAATGGAAAATCCTGAGGAGATAAGAACAGAAGAATTTGGTGTAAAAAGGAACAAACTGAGAAAAAGGGAAGAGGTGGAAAGTGTGTTAAGGCAAGTTTGTACAGCATTTAAGAAGCAACTACAGAAGAAGGAGGTGAGGAAGGTGGGGTGAGATCACAGAGGCTTTGACTGCCCAGCAGATGAGCACGGACTCCTTAAAAGTTTCTCAGTGGAGGTGTAAAGTACTCAGCTATTTGTGCTCTAAAAAGATCAGTCTCCCTAATTAATTATCTTGTAGCTTTTAAAATATGGTGTTATGTGATTTGAATTATGTTATAAGAATACTATAAGCAAGATTTTGTTATGCTAAAACCGTTTTCATCATGTGGTCAATGTATTCATCAAAAAATAGATCACAAAGGAACAGATACATAAATTACATTTGTTCTCAGATGACAATATTTCATTGGCTTTCTGAGAAGAAAATTAATGAAGGTTAAGCAGTACAATGGCTGTGGCAATTCCTCTAAAAACCAGTCCTAAAAAACTTGGCTATCTCTTTCGGGGGTATCAAAAAAGAAAAGGCAAAGAAAAATTTCCTTTACTTAATGTTATTTTCTGCCAAATAAATGTGTAAGTCTAAGTTACTCATTTCATATAGTCATATTTATTTTTCTATCATTTCTTTTGAATGACACATGTAATTTTTGTTCCTGAGAAAGTCTTCAGGCAAATGATTCACAGAGTGTGATATCACTTTAGACAATGAGGTCTTTGCTCAGGTCAGCTTTTAACTGGATGGACAGACTGGTACCACGCTCATCTATGCATCGTCTCAGTGAAACATATTTGTGCCATACCACTGTCTATGGAGAGGACTTTTAAGACATAAACCAAGTTATGTTTTAACTTTTTTTCTTAATTTCATTGTATTTTATCAATAAAGTCATCAATAAAGCTGTGGGATATATAACACATGAAAAAACCTAGAGTAAATCAATGTTTAAAAGCATTGGACATTTTTTTATTATAAACTTGGTCCTAGAGCTGTGTGTGTATATGTGTGAGGATGTGTGTATGTGTGTGTTTTTGTGTAAATAAACATCCCAGTGAGAAGTGAAGAACAGTGAAGGATTCAGATATGTATGTAGATATTTAAAACTCAAGAAACTATTATTCAGAGTCTAACCACACAACTCAACATTTGTCTGGGGTAGCATATGCTAATATTTTATGAACTTATGGGGTTAGGTTCCATGTTGTACATATGCTTTATATGCTCAATTAGATTTTATGTGCCCTGTGGACAGTTCTCAGTCTTCTAATTGTGTTACCTACTTTAAAATTTGATTGAGAAAAACAAATAGATTAAGTGAATTCTCAGGATAGAGACTATTCTCAGGATAGAGACTTCCATTTCCAGACAAGATGGAATAAACACTATCTATCCTACTTCTTCTGTTAATCACACACATGCACAAAAGTACTCTAGACAAAACATTTAAGTCATTTATCAAAAGGCTTCAAGAGGTAGAGAAAGGAAGAGAGATCAGCTAGCAGCTTCAGGACCTAAGACAGTGAATCCCATGGGATTTTTTTTTTCGCTTACTATACATCCCAACAATGCAGCAAAATGCCAGCTAAATACAGCACCCAAGAAAATCAAAAGCCTAGTAAAAGGGTGGCCCAACAGAAAACTTGTAAGCATACCTGCCTGTTCTAGGGGTAAATATCACAAAAATAGCAACACCTGTCCCTCACTCAAAGATTGGTTCATCAGGGAGTCTGTGAGACACACTACTCCCCAGTAGAACCCCAGGGCAGAAACCTGTATTCCACTCACTCCCATTTACATAAAGAGATGAAATCCCCTCCCAACTGACTTCCAACCTCCATGAATTCAACAGGATTAATCCTCCCCTCAAACCCTCACTGGAAATCTGACTTCCACTCTCCATTGCACTAATAAGGTAACAGAATGGTCTTCTGCAGCAGAAGGGTTTGGGGGAAGGATGTAATGATTAAGGGAAAACCTAAGGGAATTTCTTTGTAGTAATGGGACAGGTCTTTAGAATGAGTATGGTGAGGGTTCTCTAATCTACATCTGTGATACACTTTCATAAAACTATATGCTCTCCCCACCAAGAACAATAAACTGGAGGAATTTGAGTAAGGACTGTAGCTAATTCTAAATTAACAATATTGTACCAAAGTCAATTTCTTTAAAACAAGAGAAATATATATATATATACTATTAGCTTATATATTTACTTAATAGTATATCATATCAGTTATTCAATTCAAACTTGCATTTAATGTTTTCTTCCTGAACATGTCAGCACTGAGGAAGAAATGTATTACGTTATAAATGTGATGAAACTTAAAAAAAAGTTTTGGTTTTGTCACTCTGATTTTCTAATACTACTAACTAAACCAATTATGACTAAAGAATAATTATTTTTCCCTAGCTTTCAAAATTCCAGTTATATTAAGAATGACTACTTGAAAAGGAAAGTAGTTACCCTTCACATCAAGCTGACACTCTTCATGGTTTGTGTGAATGTGTCAAAGCCAGAGGATATCACAGGGTGAAGGCAACTGGTTGGTACATGGGGGATAAACTACTGATGCAGTATTGTAAGAAGCTAAAAATTTTTTAAGTGTGTTAAAATTATAAAAAGCAGTGATAATACTTTCATTGTGGTGTCATGCTTTTCCCCTAAGAAATAGAAAGTGCTCTCTTTTAGTCTCATCACTTAATTGATTAGAGTTCTGTATTGATGTCTCTTTTTCATATGGCACAATTAAATAATAGGGCAGTTGTATGCCTTGCCTCAGGCCTCCATGGAAACCTAGAAGGGTCAGAGTCATAAATTAGGATTCATGCTCTCCATTAAGTTTCTGTGGCTTCATAGTTAAGTTAGATTATGTTTTCAGCTAAATCTCTATCTCTACACCATTCCATTAAATGAGTAATAGTTGACACAACAGTATCTATTTCTTAGTAGCATTGCTGCCAAAAGATTTTTCTGCCAGTATAATGATAGTCTATAAGCAACACACTCAGACAATTCAAATTTATTCTAATTTAATTTCTACTCAAAGTACTTTTTTTGAAATTCAACAATTTTAAGTTACTGAATGGGTTGGGGACATCAAGAACTCTTCATTGTGTTGGACTGAGACCTTTTATCTTAAACTGGTAGATAAACTTCCCCAAAAGGAAGCTCATACCATTAAGGCATCTTGTGGTCACTTACTTCCTTCTTTCCATTTCAAATCTGTGGAGTAGTTTCCGAAGACCACCATTCTTAAATCCCTGAAAATGGGCAGCTGGGGCTCCCACAGTGATGACATCATAGAGAACATCTGGAACAGTAATGAACAAGGAGATGAACACTTTGAAGGCATTTATCCCCCACATGCTGTTTGAATTGAAGCATATATACTATGGAAAGATTGAGAAATTATTCTGTTTAATTTTGCTGGAATAACGATGAACTCACATCTCAAGGGGGCAAGAGGAGTTAACCAATCTTTCTAAAAGCCACCTGTGTACCTAAACAAATTATAATATTTCCTTGATTTATGACTACATCTTAATTATATGCCACTGTGTAGAACAGTATGTTCTCTCATTCTTTTATATACTTAATGACATAACATGTTAATTGGTCTTTTGTGTATTTTATTCTATTGAGTTTTGCATCATTTAATTTGCAATCATATTGAACTTCAACAATAATGAACAATCTTCCAACCAAAATTTACAGAAAAACCAAAATATGAATTCACTGTGGTTTAAAGGCAGAATAGTACTACTGCATCTTTTTAAAGATCTATACAGAGTAGAGATTTCCTGCCTGTGTATACTAAATCTTACACAATTTTGAATGCATGCTTTGCAATTTCCTTAGGTGACATAGAAAGGATACACAAAATGCCTCTTGATCTATTTTCCAGCAAAACACTGTTTTTTTTTTAAATAAAAAATCCACATATTTAAATTGAAACACAATCCTTTGATCTTGAAAGCCATCAAGTTTGATACTTATTAAGTTTGTGGCTTCAAAACATGCCATCATTTTTACTTGCTAATGAAAAGTATCCCTGTAAGAAGGGAGACAGAGTGAATGCCCTCCTGTCAAACTACATTTCATTTGCGAAACCTAATTTCATAGTAGATCCTTTTCAAATTGATTTCGGTATTGATACATTGTTTTTTTTTCAGCTCTTCTTATTTACAGAGAAAACATACATTATTTTATTAGCTTCAGGTAAACACCATAACTTTTTCATAGTGTTGAATCCAAATGCACCTGTATTTTTCTTAATAAAAAAATGTCTCCAAGTGAAAAACTTCAGCAGCACTTCAGAGAACTCAAGGCCACAAAACAAAACATAGGCCAAAGAGAATACAACCCAAATCAAGTCATCAATAACACATATACTGAACAATCAATTAATAAACTGCTGGAGTGGTAATTTCGTGTCCTTTTAAGAAGTCACTAATAAATCAGAAGCCTGCTTTTTCTTTTTTCTTATTTCATTCTATTTTATTTTTTTCTTTTTAACTTTTTATTGGATTATAGTTGATATAGAATATTATATTGGTTTCAGATGTACAACATAGTGATTTGATAATCATATATATTACTAAATGCTCACCACACTGAGTGTAGTTACCCCCTGCTACCATACCAAGACATTAAAATACTATTGGTTATATTCTCCATATTGTTCTTCCATACCTAGGACTAATTTAGTTTATAATTTAAAATTTGTACCTCTTTCTCCCCTTCACCTATTTCACCCATCCCCCCATCATCCACACCCATGGTAACCAATGGTCTGTTGTCAATATTTTGGTTCTATTTATTTTGTTTGTTTTGATATTTTGGATTTCACATATGAAATAATATGGTATTTGTCTTTCTCTGTCTTACTTATTTCACTTAGCTTGATGCCCTCTAGGCTCAACCAGATTGTTACAAATGGCATGATTTCCTTCTTTTTTATGGCTGAGTAATATTCTGTTGTGTATATGTACCATATCTTCTTTATCCATTCATCTATCAGTGGGTAATAAATACAGGTGTGAATATATAATATATATTTTCAAATTAGTGATTTTGCTTTCTTCAGGTGAATTCCAGGAAGTAGAATTGCTAGCTGAGGAGCAGAATATTAGACTTGTATGAAATATAAGATTTCTTAGACCAGTGGATTTTAACCTATAGCTAAGAAGAGAGTTTCAGGGTGTCCATGAATGCATCTGTTCTACCTCATGGAAAGAGGTCACAGCTTTCTCAAATGGTTGAGATTACTCAAAAGTCACCAATACTAAATTCTACTCTACCTTTATTTGTCTGCTGACAAACCTCAGGACCTGGAGAAGTTACCTGTTTGGTCTAAAGTCCCAAAGACCTTGTTTCAACTCTTCTAATCTGATCTGCATCTTTGGTTTTCTGTGACCAATACAGACACTACATTACTTACATATTCCAGAGTAAAGTTCTCAACATCTAAAAACCATTTTCAGTTCTTCTCTGTGTCTTAACATTTTATCTGTTCAATTTGAACAACTCTACTACCAAAATTTCTTTCTCTTATAAATGTCAACTATCTTCACCATAATTTTGACCTTCTTCACTTCTTGTCAGGCTTACTACTGCCTCTTCAATTTTAGCCTCCTGCATCCACAATGCAATATTACATGGGTGACCATTCAGTTAACTCTGCCCAAAACACAGACTCTGGTACTTATATCTCATATATTTCAAATATTAATAGAGCATCCAAATTTCTCAACATCATGCATATTATAGGTGCTCAATAAGTGTCAATAAATAAACAAGTATTTTGAGGCCCAATTCAATCAATAAAAAAAAGAGCAAAAAATTTAGATACATTATCCAGAAAAAAAAATTATTATCTGGAATATATCATCTCCAGGGAATTATATTAAGGGCCCCACATCATCAAACCAAACTTAATAACAACCTAATGCAGTTACAGCTCTGTCTTCCCACCCACTCCATATAACCTTTAATGAGTCAACATGGAATTACCTAGTCAGTAGTAGGAAATTTACTGATAGACCCCTTTTATTCTTAGGAGGGCAACCTTGCTTAAACCAATGGATTCTTTGCTAATAATTTGTTTTTTTTCACCACTCCTTCTTCTACCTTTAAAAACCTTTCCTTTTCTGCTGTTTAAGGTACTTCCTTTCTGATTGCTAGATAGAATGCTGAACCATTCATGAATCACCCAATGAGGCCAATTTGATCTTTTAAATTACTCAGTTGACCTTTTGCTGTTTAACAGTAATAAATAAATATTTGGTCTGTCCTCTTTTAGGGCACAGAGGTTCTAAGACCCTTTTTCTAAGAGTTGAGGGCTCTAAAGGTGTCTTGTTACATTATGAAGTGACTTTTAAACAACACTTAAGGATGAGGGGTTGCCAGTGAATCTAACCAGATGATTAGAGGGGCGGTACTTTCAGTCTCTGCCTTCTCCCACCTTCTGGGACATGGGAGGAGAGAAAAGCTGGAGATTGAGTTTGATACTCAATGGCCAATTATTTAACCAATCATGCTTATGTAATAAAGTCTCCATAAAAATCCAGGACTGGTTTTGGAGAGCTTTCGGGTTAGTGAACAGCTGGAGTTGCTGGGAGAAAGGCCGGCTCTCAGCATGGAAAATAAGTGCCTTTTCCTCTTACCTTGCCCTATGCAACTCTTCCATCTGGCTGTTACTGAATCGTATCTTTTTACAATCAACAGGTAATCTAATAACTAAAATGTTTTTCTGAGTTATATGAATAGCTCTAGCAAACTAATTGAACCCAAGGAGGGGGTTGTAGGAACCTCTGATTTGGTCAGTTATCAGAAGTATAGGTAACAACTGAGACTTCTGATTGGCATCTGAAGTGGAGGGCTATATTGTGGACTGTGCTCTCAACCTGTGGAATCGGATGCTATCTGTAGGTAAATCAGAATTCATTTGTAGAATACGTAGAATTATAGGATACCCATTTGGTGTCTGTGGAGAGCTGGAGAATTGATGGTGTGAGGAACCCTTCCCTTCATCCCCACACCACATTGGAATTGCTCACATAATCATTATAAAGATCGGCTCTGAAGAAAATAATTAGAAAGTAGCTGCTGAATGTTATTCTCAGAACTTACATGAATTTAAGCCAAAGGAAACAGGTTTGCTCTCCAGCTATAGGTAAGTGCAGTTTGTCATGAAATCTAAAATAAGAACATACTGTGCACCACTGTATAATCCTCAACTTTAATTGAGGTAGCTCCTGCTTAATACTGGTCATTAAATTTTTAAAATATCAGTACTCTTTACAGAATCACAAAATCACAAGACTCTAGAGAATCTCATCATTTGCAATTGCTATTTGATAATTATCAGTTACCAATATCACAGCATTCAGACAGCTAGATTTATCTCTTTTGGCTATTCTGCCCTTGAAATTCACTACTAATTGAGGTAGAGCAGGGACATGGGACAAACATCATGATTAATGTCTCCTGCATATGAAGAATAATGCCAAGATATAAATAGTATAGTAAGAACAGGAGGGACTCATCTTAAGGTTATGATTCCATTTTAAAAAACAAGGAGTTAGGAGGCAAGATTCCTAATATTCCTAATAACTTTATGGTATTTACCCAACAACTCACACTAAGGGCAGTGTAAGCAGTCCTAAATGGTATGTTTCTAATGCTTGAGGGTAACCACTATCTTGGAGAAGAACAGGATCAATAAATTCCTTGTGCTAGGTTTATCTTACAGAACATCCAAAAGACTGACCATAGATGGTGACTTGATGTCTCTCACCATGACACCATATGCCAAGCCTGTGCCCCCTGGCCCTTTGCCACATTCTTAGAATCCTTAAAAGACACAAATCCCAAGACTTTAAGCATGCCTGCTTTTCTCTGAAGCTGCCTCAGTCCCCTTCCTTCAAGTGTTTATTTTGCCTTAAATAAAGCTTTCTTGCTGCTCAACTTAACTGTGTTTTGTCTTTGCACTCTTCCAAACCTCTTGAGAGGTTAAAAAGAGATCCCTTTTCCCAGTGGTAAGTGTCTTTGTTACTTTGCTATTTCATTCAGTTTTCTAGTCTTAAGCACTAGTCTTATTTCTCTCTGTTTTACTTCAGAGGAGTAGGGAAGGCCTATTGAGAGCTCTGATTTGGGTTTTTAAGTTCCCATTACCTGGTTGACCCAAACAGAACTACAGCTGTACAATCATGCTGTTTAGTAGCCTGCCCAACAATCTCCTTTCTTTTCCTTTGGTAAATTCTCAGAACATAATCTCACTCTACCCAGTGCTCTGCAGCTCCCCCAAAT